AGCAATCTTGGAAAATGAAGCTCCGCTGCGCCGGCACGGGAAGGTGCTGTTTAATGCTCTTTGGAAGCTGCTTCTACACTCCTGCAGTTCAGAATTGCTGGAAGCCCCTGGACTTGCACTGGGAATTGGCCATTAACGGCACAGGTGCAGCCGGAGCCACGGGCAGCGTCAGCACCCTCTGCCCACCCCTCCTGGCTACGGAGCAGGTTGTAACAGCTCCTCCCCGCTCCATGAATCCAGGCAAGGCTCCTCGGGAAATCCCACGCAGGCAGCTCCCTCTTTCCTGCTTTATTTCCTCAGCATATGAAAAGAAAAAACAACAACAAAATAAAACATAAACGTGATGTTTTATCCCCAAATGTGATTGGAGATGTGAAAGCACTTTCATGTCTCCAATATTTGGCAAGTTATTTTGTCCATATTTTTCTAGAGAGACTTTTTCATATAGACGCTGACTGACTTGCAAATTTGTTATATGCTGCAGGCACAAAACAGATTTAATACAGCATTAGAAAGACCGCATCAAGCAACATGTTTTAACAATTACAGTTTATTTTTACACAATAAAAAAGACCCTACAACCATACGGATAGTTGTGTCATATTAAATAAATCCCAAGCCACTGTCTACAGTTGATATTTCGCTGCAAATACATCCCAGCCTGACTCCAATGACATTTTATCAGCAGCATCTTTGGTTTCTAGGCAAGCTGACTTATGTTTCCAATTTGAATAGCACCAGTACTGACAATGAAATATTTGAAAATATTTCAATAAATGAGTTTTCCAAACCCATGAAACACTTCCTTTTCCAAAGAGAATGGAAAGGAGAGGGACAGTCAGTAAAAACAAGACGAAATAGCTTTCTTCTTCAGGAAAGGTTCCTAGCCTTCAGCTGCTGATTGACTTTCAACTTTTTATTGTTACTATTCTGAAGGGTTTTTTTACTTTCTTATTTTTAAGCAGGCTGAATTCTTACTTTAGAAGAATAGGTGGGAAAAAATACATTTTCTCCCGTTTCTTTTCAAACGACTTTGAGGACTTTCGCAAAGCCAAGGACACGGTGCGGGAAAACACAGACTGAACCTCAGCACCCAACAGAACAGCTCAGCTCCGTGGGAACTCCGGCACGGAGCCAAGAGAGCCGGGAAGGCAGCACCCCTACAACGGGGCCTCTCGGGCCCAATTGGCCAGGGAAGATTTGGGAATTTTTCCTCATTAAAGATTCTAAAACCTTTTGGCGGAGCAGGTAAATACCTGAAAAGGCATCACAGTTAAATACAAGTATCTGCATTAATATAYAGGTAAGCAGGACAACTATGACTGACTTGGCGGCATGGGTTTCTGTGTTTGAAGATTAAGCTTGATCATTTTGTCCTCCTCAAGAACCATGTTATCTGCAAGTGAGAACATCTTCTCCATGACACAAATAATAGTTTGCAAACAGCAAGTAGTTATATTGACAAAGTGGCAAAGTAATATACGATGCAAAGTCACTGCAGTCAGCAAGCGGATAAACCAATACAACAGCAACAAATTCTTCCCACAACAACCACGGGACAGCACAGAGCTTAACACACCCTGCAAACACCACCCAGCTGCTTCTGTGCTTGGTGAGAAGACCCTGTATTACCGTTGGGGTGTCTGATTTGTAAATAAAAGCTATTACTGCCTTCCAAAGAGGAGCCTGTGCCTCTCAGCAAAAGGTGTCCGAGCAGCAGACTCCAAGCMTCCACGCTTGCAAGGCGGCTGCCCCATGAAAAGAGGGGATTAGTTTCCACCAGGCAAACTTGCCCTTGCAAAGCAGCGAGCTGCTGCCTTCACCAGTGGAGCACATGAGAGCAGCTGTGCAGGGAAGCCAGGACCTCCCCAGCGCCCTTCAAACCTGCAGCGAAAGCCAAACCCCCAAACTACCGCAATGCTACGGAGACTCTGGGCTATCACAAGAGCACCTCAAGGTTAGGTCCACGGGACTTTTAAGCGATTGAGAAGACAGACACAAATTCAAGCCCTGGACGCGAGGGGGAAAGGGAACCTGAACCAGTCTCCCACGCCCTAGATGGCTCCTGCAAATGTATCGGAACCGGAGAGAGCATCAACACCAGCACCACCACGTCCTTGATGTTGCAAATGCTGCTGCTATCATTTTATGAACCACGTTTAGTTCCAAGTTTTATTTAACTAAAAAATTCCCATATCAGAACTAAAAATATTCCACATTATTTCCSTCTCTTCATTACCCTCCAAAAGAGTAAAAAGGAGAGAAAGAGAGAGAGAACCTGAATTGAATCTATTTGTTTTATCATCAATATAAAGAGCCAGAAAATTACTGGCGTGGATACTCGGCTCCGCTCAGTCCCACTTCCACCCTCYGGATGCTCCCACTCGTGCTGTGAGGAAGGCACTTTGGGAAGGCCCCAACGCTGCCCCGCCGGCCCTCGCCACCCAGGAGCACCCCAGGAAACGCAGCACCGTGGGGCTCACGAGAGCCGAGAAGCGAGGGCAGGAGCGCGGGCAGACCCAACACTTGTCTTCCTGCAAGTCCTCTTAGAGAGGACAAATTCCACTGAAATGCACCTCTGTTCCCCGCTTTATTTTGTCGATGTCTGTACGTCTCCTGACCAGCACAGCCCATTACCTGCTTTACAGCTACCGGTCGCATCTGTCTGGGAAGAAACATCTGTCAGAAACGCGGGCTGCRAAACACAGGGCCACGATGGAAACGTTCAGGCCTGGTATTTATGCAAGCTGAGTATGCAACTGCTCTCATAAAATATCATCCCAAACCTGTACTGAATTCTCTCACTGTTTCTAACAACGTCTTTTTAAATGCAAACTACTGCAAGATATTTTATCAGGTCATATCATTTAGATTTAATGTCTTACAAACATAATTTGTCTTACAAATTATCCCAATTAACACAGGTATTCTTCCTCTCACAAAAAGCAGAGGGAGATAAAACTAAATATTAAAAGGATAGGAATCTGAGGTACTAAAAAGTAAATGCTAAAGCATCTTGAAGACAAATTAGAATGAATTTTTTTATTGTTCATACAGATTCTGCATGGAAATGCAAGCATTATTGTGGGTTTTACAGTTTAAAGCTACATTTAAAGGGAACATTAATAAACTGTAGGTATACTATAAACATACTGCCCAAAGTATCTTTAAATAACACATAATCAGAAGGTATTAAAGAGAGTTTTGAAAGTTTATAAATGTGATTACCACCAGATTTTTTCCTTATTTTTTTCTTCTTTTACTATTACATTCCTCCACATGATAGTTACAGTTCAAGACAGGGCAATAACACCAATTACCCACTGAAACATCGACACAAATAAAATGCAAGCTGCCCAGCCTGCCATCTCAAGCAGACTATTTGGTGCAGGACAGCTCCTGCCCCAGCAGCCTTGCAGTTGAGAAGCTATGAAAGCTCCATATCCACAGAACTTCTTAAGTAGCCATTACTGAAATATTTTCCAACTGAGAGAGATGATGAAAATTCTCCTATTTTCAGTGTCAAAACAGACAGAAGGTGAAACTGCACAGCTGTAAATGAGACAAGGGACAGAGCTCCCCTGCAGGAGGGTTCGGAGCCAAGCAGCAGAGCTGCCCTGCGCTGCTGCTCACGCAGCGTCTGCTGGTCGGTGCCGTCCTTGCACCCGCCGGGAGCTCTCCTTCAGCCTCCAGTATTCCCTCGTATCCCAGGAGTTCAGCTTCAGCTTTGTGCTGAAGGGAATAAGAAACCTGAGCACATCATTAACCACCTTCAGAAACCCAGCTGCTACATCAACCCTTCAGCGACCCGCTGCAGAGACACGAGGGCTTCGCGGTCCCTCACCTTTCCTCAACCTCCTTAGCTGCCCTCCAGAGCTGGGCCAGAAATATTTACTCTTTCCCATAACCAGGTGTTTTGGGATTTTCCTCCTCACRAAAACTCCAGGACCTGTTCCAGTTACTAAGGTGGGCACAAAGTTCAGCTCTGCAGGCTCAGSAGAACAGTACCGAATCACCTCGCACTCTGTTCGCACCCATAACAATGTATAAGTTCATGAAAGCGGAATGTAGGGAAGAAGAGGCCAAGCTCYTCTCKTTGGTGRCCAGGGACAGGACAACGGGTAATGGGTGTAAGTTGAAACACAGGAAGTTCCATCTGCAGGTGAGGAGGAACTTCTTCACTGTGAGGGTGACAGAGCCCTGGCACAGGCTGCCCAGGGAGGTTGTGGAGGCTCCTTCTCTGGAGGTCTTCAAAACCCGCCTGGACACCGACACTGCCCCGTGCTCTGGGTGTCCCTGGACTAGATGGTCTCTAGAGGTCCTTCCAACCTTAACCATTCTGGGATTCTGTGATTGTGTAATGACCTCTTCCTGTGAGCACAGAGACGAGAGACTTCTCCTCCCCAAAACTAATATTAAAGTCCATTTTACAGAAGAGAAGAGTTGGATTTACTACTTGCACGTTTCTTTTAGAGATAACATAAAAAGGAAAATATAAAATAGCTTTGTAGAATCAAACAACAAAAGATAAACCACACATGAACACGATGTAAAATTCAGTAACAAAATTCTCCAGTCCAACCACTCACTATCAACTTGATGCCAATATGCATTTCAAGTGGAAGGAGAAATTCTGAGAACTTGCATATTCAAATGAATACGAAATATAAAATACCAGCAAATGACTTCAGATCCAAAATCAGTGTTTTGCAGATAAATCACACCTTAAACAATATGAGCTTGCTTCGGCCTCTCTAAGTTGCCATCATGTAGGTATCAGTAACATAAACCTGCAGAGGAATTTGCATTCGACACAAGGACTTCTGAGCTAGCAGATCTGTTGGTCATAACCCATCCAGCCCAGGCCAATATTTTAACTGCCCCAGTTTGCACCATTTATACAATTTATAAAGCTCACTCCAAAGGATGGAGTCCAGATATCTAAGCATTTGAGGTTCTCCTTCCACATCTGCACCGCGTACCGCAGCTGTATTACTTACTTCCCATCTAGCTCCGGCCTTTTGCACACACAGTGAAACTTGCCCCCAAAATCGATGTAGAGGTCGTCGCCCACCGTGTGGAATATCTGACCAATGACGATTTTATCTTTGGCAGGTCCCATCTGAATTAGTGGGGAGCGTCTCAACATGGATGCAAAGGATTCCGGCTTCTCCGAAGGAACCTACAACAGAAGCAGAGGTGTTACAAAACGTACCCTCTGAAGAAGGAATTTCATAAAATTTTGTAACACACACATTGGCTCCGTACACTAAATTACAAGGCAAGATTTCATGTTTCTAGACCAATTTTGGAAGCACTTTCCAGATCTGGTATAATTCTCCAAACCACTTTACACATTAAAAGCAAAGCTCTTATTAATTCAATTGGGCAACAAGAATTGGCTCCTTCRCAGTCTTCTGAAAACATCTTCAGCTCTGTTTTTGAAAAGATAAATTGCTTTGAAGGCACATTCACAACATCAGGAGATATTTCTGCAAAGAGTACATCTCAATCCTTACCTCTTCAGCGAGAAACAAAGCAGAACTAGTACCTTGTTGTATCGAACTACTTAAAAATGAACATTTAAATCTTTATTTTATAAAACAAATCTATTTTGCCAAAGCAGAAGTGAAATGTTCATACAAGATTGATCTCTAATATATAGAAGCAAACATTTGATTTTTTTCTCATTTTTCACTCTACAACTTTAGATAAAGTACTTCAATTCAGTAACTAAATAAAATAAAATGCTAATTCCTTCCATAAGGTTTTGGAAAAATGGGGAGAACACAAATCCTCCTTCCCTTCTTCATGGAGACAGCCCTCTTCCCCTTGACCTGAGAAACATCACCACAGACTTGCCATCATATGTTAAAATACCCAACTATTACAAAGTGAAATTCATTCTTATATATTGTCCTAGGACATACCAACTTTAACTGCTTTTCAGGATTATCACCTTTGAAATATGATTGGTAAAAAACTGCCTTCTAGCAGGTAATGTCAAAGACCACAACCATTTTGGAAGCAATGCACACCTAAAATCAGAAAGTGATATTACTGAAACCAGTAATCCAAAAACATTATAGTTTAACACCTATGTCCTCAGAGCATAGTCTAATATAGACTATTTCTGCCATTTTTTCCGTGATATTCTACTGCTCAGCACTGGGAAACGAGCACATTGTGCTCAGGATAACCAAACAACCAACTGAAGTTCCCTCGCTCCAAGAGACTGCGATACACCAGGCAAAAGTGAAAACCACCTGAAGTGTACTTCCTTCTCAGTTTAGACTGCTTAAAACCAATAGCTGTGTTATTTAAATCGAAAAATCAAAACCAAGCCTTCTTGGACAGCAAAGGAAAGCAATCCTCGTATTTCCCTACAGATGAGCTACCATGTTTCTTTTTTTCCTCAATTCTGTCAAAAAATCACACATTCTCCGTGACTAATCTAAAAAGATAACAAAAAATCGCCTGTACTGCATGTAAAGAGAGAATAATGTCATCGTTTTCTCTCTGTATGTTTAGAAACTTTTATCCTTTCGGAAGTCATAACAACAGATATCTCGGAATTCCAACCTCGGTGGAGCAAGCAAATAACATGGGTTGTGCTGCCATGACAAAACCTTGGGAATTACACACTTKCTGGTAAATGGGCTGCCTCAGAAGCTGGAACTGTTGACTACAGCATCCTGAGGACAAGGCCTGAGCAAAAGGCTTGCAAACATGCATGTCTGCACCAGCAGGAGGATTTCACACCGGAGACCTAGTATCAGATGAGCTTTCCAACACAGGAATTGCCAAGTGCAGTCTAAATTCCCTAACACAAGTGTTCTATCATCCTGTATGCTTGCCAACATTGTTTCTAAGGATACRTCTCACCTTGGCAGTTGTACCACGGCACTCAATGTCCAGCTACATAGGGGTGAAATACAGCACAATTCCACGGCCACTTCTCCATCCCATTTCCAAGCTCTTTGGCTGTTTGATTCCCTGCTTCCCTCAACATGGGTATCCCTCAGAATCCCAGAATGGCTGAGGTTGGATGGGACCTCTAGAGATCATCTAGTCCCACCCCCTGCTCCAGCAGGGACACCCAGAGCACGGGGCACAGGGTGGCATCCAGGCGGGATTGGAAGGTCTCCAGAGAAGGAGACTCCACAACCTCCCTGGGCAGCCTGTGCCAGGGCTCTGTCACTCTCACAGTGAAGTTCCTCCYCACATGCAGATGGTATTGTCTTGTGTTCTAATGTACACTCATTATCCCTTGTCCTGTCACCGGCCACCACTGAGAAGATTTTGGTCCCAACCCCTTTACATTCTCCCCTCAGGYATTTATACCTTAATCAGATCACCTCTCAACCTTCTCTTCTCCAGGCTAAACAGGCCCAGCTTGCTTAGTCCTCTGAGACTGATACAATCAGCTGGAGGCAGGTGGCGATGACCAGGAAAACGATCATCCAGGAAGCGGCAGCGGGGATGGTCAYGGCTTGGGAAGCAGACGAGGGCTTTAGCCCGAAACAGCTCTCTCAGGTACTAACATCTCAGGTATGAAGTCTGTATACAAGAAGCCCAACACCTACTTCAAGCCCCCAAGGGGCAGGGGCAGCCTACGTGATGTTCAGGCTGGAGAGGCAAGTGTCATTTACTTCCTTGTAGGGCAGCTTCTCCACTGCCCTAATTCCCAGYGAGATCACCGCAGGAGCAGGAACTTTGTTCAGCAGGAACTCCTCAGGAGCGTGAACATCTGACACAAGCACAGGTCAGTCCCCCAAGCACCGCCACCATCAGCACTTCTGTGGACCACAGGCAGCGGCTTGTTTCTTCTTGCTTACCACACAACCCAAAGGAGCTCTCATTAGATGATAAATTACATTTTGAGGAGTTCTTCCCTCCATGATTTCTAGATCGCCTTTATTGCCCCACAGAAAACAATAGGCAGAGAGATAATTTGGCAATACACTTTCATACYAATTATAATTTAGATTTCTCACCCACAAAGAGTGTTGTCCACACAGCTGTGATACCCAGTGCATCTGTAGTACCTGTTGAGTGCCCAGGCTGGAGAGCAGAGCAGAGCRCACAGGCACCAAGGACACACTCTTTTCAAACACCTCCAGAGTAAAGACTTTGCTTTTGATGCCAACCTCATTTTCCTTCTGACTTCTAGGGCTTAAAGTTAGATTTGGATGCTTTCCACTTTTCGTGCACATAGTTCAATACAAAAGGGTAGCTCTTTCAAAACTGAAATATTCTACCAGGTACTAAATGGGAGGAAGAAAAAAAGTTACAGATTTAAACCCAGTAAGATCCAAAGGAAAGAAGCGACTCCAATGGAGAAATTCCTGCACGCTGCCTGGAGCAGAGCCTATGACTGTACAAGCAGGGTGGTCCATCCCACCCAGCGGGCCGCGGGGTACAACCCCAGCTACGTGATTGACGCTCGCTTGCAAAGACAAGGATTGTGCGTGTTGGAATGCGGGAGACACGGATGAGACTTGGGATGTCGCCATCCCTCATGGATGAGGCTGCGTGTGGTGAGAGAGCAGCAATGAGGCTGCCACAGCTAGGGAGGAGGTGACGTACGGACACCGAGCAGCACGCAAAGAACTGCAACTCYTTGTAACTGCGGAGTACTGATCTCCTCAGCAGTGCCTTCAAGGCCAGACACACTTTTCTTGCCCGCTGGCAGCTTCAGGAAACAAGCACATAGGGCCAGCAGTGCGSAGCAGCAGGTCAGCCCCACTCCACAATGGCTCAGGGCACAGCTGCTCAGGCCTCGCTCAGAGCTTGACCGGCCAAGGCCCCGAGCAGCCCGATCCAGCCCGCCCGGCTTGGCACACGGGGCCGGGACACACAACGTCCAGGGGACCAACCTACACTACTGAAGACCTTAAGAAACAAACTACAGGCAAGGCAGCTTGGGCTGGGAAGGCTTTTAGACAAACAATACAAAAGCTTTTCTCTGAGCTGCTGTATTGATGAGGGACATACTTTCAACAATTCATTACATATTACATATATCTTAGCTCAGAATACAATGTCTCGAATTTTAGGCTTCACACCTTTAACTCATCTCAAATCACAGATCTGCAGCACTCCCTCCACGAGACCAAAAAAGTTCAAGCACCTTCACCCATCACCTCCAGCTTTGAGGGGGTTTGTGACTTCTTTGTGACCAGCAGCAAGCAGGGATTCTTGACCTTTCTTAACCTGGAAGTTCTGCTTCCTGCTTTAAGAGGAAGTTTAAAAAGTTTTTTTCTTAAATCTTCCCTAAATAAGAGCCAACACGAATGCTTATACTCCAAAATACCATCAACCTCTAGTAAGAGCTTAGACAAAAACCCAGCTTCCTCGGGCTGTTGCACTGCACAGCTCTCCTGCAGCAAGACCTCGTTGCCCTTTAGCCTGCAGGGTTCCCCAGACCTGCCCTCTCACATGTGCCCTTCTGGACTCGGGCTCTAACGCAGTCCTGCCAGCTGCACACCAGGACAAAAACGCTCCCGACGGGGCTCGTTAGAGCTCTCCACGCCACACAGGGCACACGCTTGCCCAGAGCCACGCTTTTTCTTGGAGTTACTAAAACACAGGGGCTTGGCAACCTGATTTCAGGGACCTGCCTGAGCAGGGGGGTTGGACTGGGCCATTTCTAAGTGTCTCTTCCAATCCCAACCATGCAGTGATTCTGTTTTTCTTCCTTCACTGCTTCTGTTTTCCTTCCTTCAAATTTTCAAAATACCATCCTGTGATTTATGGATGTGCCKAGATGCAGAAAACACCATCAGTTATCCCGTCAATACACAACACTCCCTAGCTACAGTACTAGTACTGTACTAGTACCCCATTCGCTGGCAGATTTTTTTTGCAGATTTTTTGCAGTGGGCAGATTTATGCCCACTACTCCCTTTACGAAGAAGGCCAGGGGCTCGCTTATTTATTACATATCACCAGAAAACAGGAGTCAAACCTCAAGCACACTTACACTCTGCCGTTGCTGTAYGGAGCGCACCACTTGCTCACATTTCCTAGCGCTGGGCACACCGCAGGTTTCGGATGACGTTTGGCTACGGAAGGCTACTCTAGTTTTCAGGTGAGCAGTGAGGCAAAGAAAGGAATCATCTCTTCATGGTGAAKTCAACACATGATTTTAAGTATCAACTTCACTGTTAACCTCTTTATATGTATATATGTAGTATTGACCCCCATTTTGGCAGCTACTACCCTGTATTCACCCCCAGAGACCATAAACCACCAGCACCGCCAGCCTGACACTCTGGTGCCCAACRAAGATGTTTGACCAGTATTTACAGCCTTTTCCACAACTTAATGCTTAATTCCCTAACACGGAATAATGCACATACTAAAGCTCRTAAATGTTTTACTAAATATTAAAGGACAAAGCAGACACGTGTGAAACTACACATAGGAAAAAARCCTCCTGAGGACTATTCCTCATGCAGCTCTCCATAATGCAAACTAGGTCACGAGTTTAGCTCCCATACAGGTACTCACATACAACTGCCAGCAAAAGACACCTATTAAACCAGGTAATACCTCAACAAAATCCTGCTTACACCTATGTAGTTACAATAGACAGATCAAATGTGTTTTTTCTTGTGAAGTCTACAGTGAGTTTTGACCTTTCCGTCCCTTATTAGTGGTCTAAGGTTTTGTCCTATGGAAAAAATATAGATATATATGTGTGTACATATATATATGTATCTCAAACAATTGAAACTCCCCAACAGATTCAACTTACAAGCCCAAATGTGCAACCACAAAGACACGGAGCATCTTTCTAGCCTCCTTAAGAGGGATTTTTTTTTCCATTCTATTCCCAACGACCAGAAAATGGCAAGGAGTTGATATATAGTTCCTCCTAACACAGGGTTCTGAAAATGACTAGTTCAGTGTAAAGCTGAAACAAAAGCAAGATTTGTGTTACTTAATAAAATTACAGCAAGAAAACGGTGCAAAGGGGAAGCATAAAAGAAGGACTTAAAGTAACAATAAAAGCAGTGCTTTAGGAAAAAAAAAATAAGATTAATGACTGTGAAGTCAGAAAGGACAGTTCTGAAAGACACAGGACAAAACTGGAAAATTCTTTGCTAGAAAACAAAAGGTATTTATAAGAAGCTTCATGTAATTCCTTTTCTTTGCAAGGACTGTGCAACTCTCAATTTCTATAAGCAGAAGGCTTGCACACAAGCTCATATTACAATGATTTCCATTCTTTAAGGAAAGTGTAACTGTAAGGATTCCAATATTACTTTATTCTCATACCACTTAACGTCCACAATCAAAGTAAATATCAGAATAACTAAAAATTTGCTTATCACGAGAAATTCACTGCCAAACACATTGCCCAGTATTTCAGCACAGTACTGCACACGCACCCACAGACTAYGGCACAGTCATCCCAGCAGATACCATATTTACGACATTCTGCCCCCATCTAACGGCCTGAGCTGCACCCTCCGTGCTCCCCACCAAATWACAAACATGAGCTGTGTCTATATCTATCTTTTTAAAGGGCAGGTTAAAGAAAGCAGATCGGAAGAGCACAATAATTTTCAGCAACGTAMGGCAGTACATAACCGGATTCAAGAAGAGCACAACACCAAAGCTCCTTCTTCAAACCTTTACATTCCAAAACAAAAAAATACTTCATCATTTGAAAAACYAAAGAAAAATGGTTCTTTTTCACTAGAAACATAAGGAAGATTGACTGCAGCTTTTATTCTTAACTTTTTGAAAGTTTATATAGTCTTAATAAACTTCCATATATATGGTTTTAATTGGCCATTGTAACTTCCCATCACAAACTTATAGAACACCCCCCAAAAGAGCAGCCAAAAACCGAACAAATTCTTCAGCTGTTCCAACCTGACGTGCAATATCCATATACTTTCCTCAGTACAGAGAAGAAATGTGGTTTTATTTTAGAAAGCAAAACAAACAAATTTCTTTAGCCAAGAAGGCTGGAAGGAAAAAAGCCGAAATGAAGCGTTTAGRAATCCCTTGGTGAGAAGTGGTGCCTCTGGCAAAGCGTCCCTCAAGTGTCACCGAAGGTATGAAGATATCTGGCAAGTGGTTTGCTGTGCAAGCCCAGCACTATTCTGTAAAGAACTTCTCATTCAATCCCTGCTTCCTTTAAGTATGTATATGTATATATTTGCAGGATGCGAGTTTGGAGCTAGGCAGAGCGTTATGGAAGGCAATATCTGAGAGGTCTCATCGCCCTGGCCCAACCCGGAGCGGTTCCAGCTGGAACCGCTCCCGCGGGCGGCACCTTCCCATGCGGGATGAGCAGGGAAGCGCTGCCGCTCCGTGAGCCTCCCCTGGACAAATGCAGCTGGCGGCCTCTTCAGCTGTGAACTGGAGGACTCCAACTGCTGTTACCAATCCATTCCAAACCAGCTGAGTTATAAGCTCCAGAAAATGAAGATTGCTTATTTCATTTTTCAACTGACTCCCAAGTAAACTACAATAATAATAAAATCTCTCGAAAACCCCTTTTAGACAGCTGCGGTCCATGGATATCCAAGATGCACGCTCAGAAGGCAGCAAACCCCAACAGGAAAACTGGAATACAAACTCTAATGCTGCTTTCTTACATGCACATACCACAACTGACACGTTTTCTAAAAAGGCCACAAATATCCCCAAAAGATGTGTCAGGGTCCCAGCCCCAGCTCTTGGGCCAAGGGTATGAATCTCTAGCTCACGTTCAGTGTTTCATGAGCCACTACCAGAACAGAAGGYCACAGTGATCCCTTCCTGCCTAAAAAACCCAAATATTTTGTCTTTAGTTACAGAACTAKCTCTCATCCTTGTAGCAAATCAGTAAGCTACGTCATTTTCCAACACCTTATGCCAAGAATAAAATCTTTGGGAACATCCAATGCTTAAAAGCCTTCTTTAGAATTAATGGTTTCTCTCACTCCCATCTACGGAAAGTTGGGACTAGTCAAGAAAGGCTGGTACACAGGAATCTATAAAACCATTTTGAAATGTGTACAGTAAGGTAATAATATTTTCACTTACAGGGGAAAAATTAAATAATCTTTGCTTTGCTCAAGTTACAATTCCTATTTACCAAGCATTTGCACCCAAAAAGAAACCATACAAAACGGACTAAACTTCAATTGTACTTAGGACAATKCCTATTTTGTAGATTGAAGCTTGTCCCAAACAAACGGGAAACAAAATGGCTATARGAAGTTTATTAGGGTAATATTCATCACATTTGGCAGAAAGAATAGGAAGATTTTGCAGAGAGACTTGGCTATATTCAATTTTTATACCAATTCACACATARTAAAATTGTACTTTTTCAAGTAGTGTTTTTAAATTGTGTTTTGTTTGGAGATCAAGAAAGTACTACAATTTTCTTTAAAAAATAATAAAAGATGCTTCATGCACTGCTTGAAATCAGGTTATGTTCATGGTTAAGCTACCATCCTTACCTTCCCCTTATCTTTCCACAAAGCTCCATGTTTTCACACTCATTGCAGAGCTGGCTGACAAACACACTATATTCCAAAGCAGCTGATTCTATGTTTGATACAGAATAACTTCTTCAAAACCTTAGCTGAGCAGAGAACATGCTAGCTGCCACAATACAATTACAGAATTATTGTCCTCTTAATAATGAGAAATGTAGGTCCTGAATTAAGCACATTTTACAAAGAGATGCAAATAACAGCCTACCAAATAGGCACAGCACTTAACCACTACAGCACCATGGCAAACCCAATCTTTTCTGTCTTCGCTAATTAAGTTTTTTCATGTAGGATGATGCAGTTCTTTTAAAATCCATGTGAACGTGATTTGTACACTGTGCATAATATGCAAGAGACTTTTCTGAACAGAACTTTAAATTGTTAAGACCTCTTTATTGGTTTTCCCCCTACATTARTAAGATCTGCCACCTTCGCCCTTTTGAAGTTAAGGTTGATATTTAGACCTATCTAGATAGTGTTCACAAACAGTTTTCCAAACCCAAGAAACAGAGCAGTCTAATTATTGGGAGTACTTTGTAAAGTGATAAAACATATTAGTGACATCTCGGTATATGCTGCTATGGTATCAACTGCATCGATGCTGTTCATGCAACAAATGTATTTTGTTTTTTAAATGAGCAGTCCACCTAACTTTGKACATGTCATAGCAAAGGCATCGCTACTGCAGCAAGCCCAGAGGCTGGCTGGGGATGCCCTCGTTGATTCTGCTTCTGCCTGCCCATTAGCAGGAGCGCCAACAATACATTTAGACTTGTTTCTGTCTGGATTTTCCCGTATTATATACAGATAAATACACATATAAAACACCATAAATTAAAAGCTCTCGACTTTTTCCTTTGACTTGTTTAAGAACYTGTGCCTGGAAGGAGGAGCGTAGCAAACAGCACGGAGGAGCCCATGTGGGCAGGGGAAGCCGTAACAGCGGGATCACAGCAAGAAGCATCTACAGTTGCTTCTGGACCCTTTTCTGAGACATTTCACAAGAGAAACGAGCRCCTTTCAAAAACAGAGAAAGAAGTGAAGCCTGGAGGGATCCCTGCCACTTGCAGCCTCCGTGCCAACTGCCGTGTGTTGGCAGTAAAAGGAAGGTTTTCCAGGTGACTTCATGTTTTGATTAGACAGTGCAGAAACTGGAAAATAAAAGACTTAATTTTTTTTTCCAAATGCAACTTAGATAATGTACTGTCTACCTGTCAGAACATTATTTGCTAACATTAAGCTACATATTTCATAAAGTAATATATCACTTCACTTCAATCAAGCTGCTTATTTTTACTGAATTTAAATAAAACCTACAAGTAATTAAAACCATGAAATACATCTTTCTTTCAAAGACCATCTTACAGCAAGAAAGTTTAAAGCACCATGATCATGACAAGATCAAAAAACATGATGCTTTCAAAGAAAAGAAGGAAAAAAGAACGGATGAAAAGAGTGAGGTGAAGAATGCAGCACCGATGAAGTGAGCTGATGTTTCACTTCAGTGAAAGAGAAGTCCTGTGGCAATTACTGCATCAGCAATGGGGGCAAAATAAAGCCCTACCACTAAAAGTTATCTGAACATTTTCAGTACTTCATGTAAAAGACTGAGAGGGAAGAAAAACCACAAYGGACAGACTGGGACAAGGGGGCAGATTTAACAGAGCTGCACACCAGGTGCAAGGAGCAACGTGTGTCGAGCTCAGCACTCACTCGCGCAGCGAGGCAGCTCAGCCTGGCATCCAAACTCATTCTCCGGGCAAAGCCACGGCCGTGTCCCGCATCTCCGGGACGGCAGCACCCAACGCAGGGCAYGGGGACACTCTGCTTATGTTCTCCAGCTCACGGCCATGACGATGCTCCTGCTTCAGGCTCCTGTCGGCTCCTGCTTCAGCCCTGTGYGCCAGGCCTATCGGCCAGTTTGTTCCTAGACCGCACAATCCCCTCATCATCTCCTGCTCCAAAAGCACTGCCCGCAGGASAGCATTTCCCCACCTCCTGATGAGGCTTCACCATTTACCACCACTCTGCACCTTCCAGATGGTCCTTTTCTGGAGGCTCCTCAAGGCCAGGGCGCTGTGTCCACAGACATGCTAAGAGCCTAGTTTGGACCTGCCGCAGGAACAGCGGATGGTGAACATCGTGTTGATGACAGAAACTCCTAGTAAGGACTGAATCCCAGGACAACATTTGCACTCTGGTAGAAGCAGAGGAGCCCCAGGTCTCTTCTGTGACACTGGCAGTCCCTAGGCTTTCTTTTAGGTTTTTTTTTTTTTTTTTTTTTTTTCTCCATTTTGTGGCCCTCCTTGTGCTGGAGCTCTGCAGCACAACGGGTCATGGGTATAAATTAAAACAGGGGATCCACTTCCATGTGAGGAAGAACTTCTTCCCCATGAGGGTGACAAAGCCCTGGCACAGRCTGCCCAGGGARGTTATGGAGTCTCCTTCTCTGGAGGTCTTCCAGACCTCCCTGGATGCCGCCCTGTGYCCCGTGCTCTGGGTGTCCCTGCTGGAGCAGGGGGTTGGACTAGATGATCTCTAGAGATCCAACCTCAGCTTGCGCTTCCAACCCCAACCATTCCGTGCCTCTGTGAAGGTGCCATGGGCCTTACCACACGGCAGAGCCCTCTCTACTGCAACTCTGCACAACTAATGTTACTATTTATGTCTTCAAGAGCGGCACCACATGTCACATCTCTGCTGCCTACCAGGAACATGCAGGGTCCCATCTTCTTCATTTCAGCAGCTGCTGCCAAACTGCCATGTGACCGCTGCAGAACTCTGCCATAAGCCCCGTAACTCACCCAAGGGACCCAAGGGGGCCCCTAGCTGGAACGAACCAAAGTCAGAAGGACCAAGTTTCAGTTTCTCATCCAGAACGCTCACGGATCAAGACATCTCCCTCCGAGAAACTTCWCCAGGACAAACGAGTGAATTCCCACCCGAAGGCAAAGACAGTCTGAGAGTAGGTACCACCACCAAGGCACGGAGACCTCTGCAACACCCTCCTGGTGCAGGCACGGCCCTGCCGCTGACCTCCTGCAAACACACGGAGAGAGCCAAGGGAAACCTCCCCAGAGAGAAAGCCCCTTCCCGCTCCCGCGCACGCCACGAAGGGCGAGCGGGGGTCCGAGCTGCTCGGCAGCTTCTGCTGCTTGAGCGCTGGCCAGAAGGTAACCTACGTAAAGGAGCAYCAAACCTCTAAGCTTCATTGACAGCTTTGTTGGGTTTTTTAATGCTATTACATTGGCAATCGAAACCAAAAGGCTTTCAAAATACCTGTTTGCTATCACTGGTAACGAAATTTATCCACACAGAGGTTAGAGGTGCCTTAATAAGTATCAGTGAAGTGAAAATGCCCTGCTTTCTATAAAACAAGAATTTTTCCCAAATATTTGCAACTTCAATAAAATCATGTTCATGACTCCTACATGTTATGAGGGGAAAAAACATATTAAGAGAAATATATTTCACAGTAATAAATAAGAATAAGAAAAAGAATAAATTAGTAAAGTCTCCATATCACCTATCCAGTTTTTATTTTCTTATCTTTAAGAATGCTGATGGTTTGTTAAAAAAAAGAAAAGAAAAAATATAAATACATGAATGTSCTTTTCAAGTTGCTGAATCCTTATTATAAAATTGCTACAAAAGCAACCACCTACTAAACTACCTACTTTCTATACAAGAGTGCCGAGTGCTCGGGCATGTGCATTATTATACACAACTATCTCTAAGGCTACAAAATGAGCATCGCAATCACGTAGCTGGCAGTGAACCAAACGGCATCTAAAAATGGGAGATGCAATTAYGGTTTTCAAAATAATCATACACGCATAAACTTGCAAAACGTGATCCATATGATAAACTCTATGCATCAGCTAAAGGAGAGCTGCAACACTAATGAGAAGCACTACTAAACACATATAATGTTTTTCTGTCAAGATTAACGTATCAGAAAAAGAGAGATGAAAAGGTGAAACGTGCAAAACTCCCTAAACAACTCAGAAATGTGTAAGCAGCAAGCCCAGAACTCAACGCTTCAATGGGAACTGAAGAAAAAAAAATAGTGTCTTGTTAATGAATGCTTTCCTGGAAAACAAGTTATTCAAGGAACTAACTGGGAAATGCTTCATACGCGCTGTATTTTCCTCCAACATCCCGAAGGAAATGACGCCCTCTGCTGCGCTAGAATTGAAAGTTCACCGAAAACCAGATAAACCACTTTCTGGGGCGGCTGTCTCCCCCTGGTGCTTGCACAGCACCCGCGACCTAACCCCAAAAAGGTTTGAAGAATAAAATACACATAAATAAGGAACCACTTTTAYTTTTTCCCTTTAGCTGCAACACGAACCTGCTATTTTGTATCGTGCTACTGAAAAGCAAAAAGGGCCCAGCAAAGCACTCCCATCACATGTGCCATCTATTGCAGACCAGTGGCCAAGATGTGACTTGCAGTTGCCCGATTCTGCTTAAAACAGACTTGCCAAACTGCAGTCATTCACACCAATTTTCTTCAGTGCGGCCAACCTAGTAAAGTGCATAGCTCAAGGACTGTTTCTCTCTACTGCTACCAACAAAAAATACTGTGCCCTTTGCAAATGGAAAGGCTTCCTACTCCACTGGCCAGACAGCTTCAATGGGCACGCACAGAATAAATGAAATGCCTGCAGCATCTTCCTTTGCTTCCTAAACAGTTTTCTTTCTTTCCCCCTGCACACGAGGGAAAATATAAACGTGCCTTTTTTATGTTGGGTTTAAAATGGGTGCAAGCTTGGGCACGGGGAAGGCAGCAGGAGGGCGCAGCTGGAGGTAAGTGGCCTGCGCAGACACCGTTAGCGCTCGCGGTGCTTCTCGCCCTATTTCATTCGCCAGGGCACTTTTGAAAACAATTTATTATACCATCTGCTCTAGAAATTTTGTTACTTTCAAAACAGTTAAAACATGAACTGGTTGCATGTTTTTCACCATGAAAGGTGAAAAAGTAGAAAGCAAAGCCCTAGGACGGGATACCTGCATAACCCAGAACTATACCAGGCAACTGTAAAGTAACATTAGCAGTAAATACATGCTGCTGTGCCTGAGAAACTACCTAGCAAAGAGAAACTTCATGCTTTTATATAAAGTATCTAAAGTGCATGCACATCAATACCTACATTTATCATTTYTTGGCAATATATAAAAAATAAACCACTGCCTACCAAAGGCCACACCATTAATGCAGTCGCAAAAATGTGGAGGAGAAAATCTTCCTAACCAGGAAGCCAGTGCAGAAAAATCCCCAAATCTTTATATTTTCTTTCCTTTTTCCTAAYGAAACAGAGACCAGAGATGCTAAAGACCCAGCTAACACATGTGCTCCTACAGCCAAGTCTGCTGTAAGAAAACCCCCTTTTCCCCTTGGTTCAAGTGAGAAAGTAATTCAATAGAGTGTAGAAAATTTTTCCTGTATTCATTTTACACTCCTAGATTGACTTTATATTGTATTACATGTATTTATGTTTCTATAGGTATTTGTGTGTATGTTACATTTGGAATTTGGACTGAAAAAAAATGCTACCTAACACTAAAATTCTGACATTTCATTGAGAAGGAAGTCGCAAAGCTACCAGTATCTTCCACAGCTGGATTAACTGGGGTCACTCTTAAACTCTTCTCTGGACCTCTGCTTTGGTTACCATCTGAGCCAAACTACTAGGCTAGAGGGACTTTGCAACCCAGGACAGTCTTGTTAGGGTGGAAATTCACTGGAAAACAGGAGACTAAAGATTACACAAATATGGGCGGATATGAYGTCCTGGATTCAGGGGCTGGACACATTTTTAATGTCACATTCCCAGCACTGGGGCTGCATCCTGGGACATAGGCTTGACCTTTGTATGGGCACCTTCAGCTCCAACAAAGCCCAGGCTGCGRGGCTGCAGTTTCTCCTGGACAGTCTGAAGGAGCAGCAGGGAAGGGGAGGGTCAGACCCAGGCTGTCTTCAGGAAGATTTGCTGCATTCCCTCCATCCGCAGCCGTCATTTAGCCCACACTTAACTGCCCACGGATCTTCTTTAAAAATGTGTCACTTTTAKAAATATATTAAAATAAGTACACCACAGAAAATATACAGAATATAACCGCGCATGTACAGAAACACTGACACTTCAATTGTAAGGCAGTTACTACACATGGCATACAAGCGAGCATGGAATTAAAAAAAAAATGCAGATTTAATAATTAACGGAAAAGAAGCCAAAGAAGACAGCGATGCTTTACAGGCACTGTGACTACGGACAAGTACATATATGAAGGACAAAGAGGCACCGCGCCAAGCTCCGCCTTTTGGGGACAGAAAGCGGCGGACCGCGCGCTGCCCCAAGGAGATGGGGGTCATGGCGGCGGGCGGGGGCGACCGTTGGCCGCGCTCAACGCAAGCACGCGCCGCACACGCCGCCGGCCCCGCCCCCCGC